GAATTGAAACGGGGCCGTTTACGGCAAGGGGGCAAGGGTACCATGAAAGAAGGCCGTTGGAATCAGAGGGACGCGAATTGAAGCTGTTTGGAACGAAACGAAACAAGGCGGATTGAAATTTCACTGAACAGCAACAGCTGATCAACGTGCATTGGTGAGGGAACGTGGGCGGCAATGGAAACAGCTTGCAATGGCCCGCAAATGGCACACCGTCGACAGCTGCCCGCCGACGCTGGTCACACGCGTGCACGTGGGGCGTCCGGAGACCCCCCGGAGAGTAACACACAGGAACCACACTACTGGGCCACTTTACACCGACTACCTAACGTAGCGTACAATACAACGCGTCATCTCCAACCGCCACGTGCGCCTAAACCCCCCCCCCGCCTAAAAGTCGGCGGGCAGGCCGCAGGCCGCGCTGAGGTACTTGAGGGCCGAGATGATGTCGCCGGCGTTATGGCAGAGGCCGAGCGGCCAATCGAGGCGCTCCTGCACGCACACGCAGTGGCTCTCGTCGCACGAGACCACGTCGGCCGTGAAGCCCACGGCGTCCACGCTGGTCATGCTCACGGCCGACAGCTGCGACAGGTCGTCGAACCGCTTGCCGAACCGCACCACGTACTGCGCCAGGTCGCGCAGGTGTTCCCTGTTCATGAACTCGCACACCGTCGCCCCCACCGCCGCCACCTCGGCAACCTCCGCCCCCGCGGGCGCCGCGGGCACCGCCGCCGCCGCCGCCGCCGCCTCGCCCGCCACGGCCTCGTCTGGCACGATCCGCTCGAACGGCACGCGCGGACCGCGCGACGGCCGCGACACCGACACCATCGAGATTGCCGCCGTGCGCCGCTGGCACACGCCGCGCCGCCCGCCGCGCGCGGGCGCGCCGGCGCCCGGGGGGAGCGTGAAAGCGGGCGTCATACTTGTAGGGATGCGGGGGGCAGAGGGAGCGAGAAAGAGAGAGTGAGAGAGTGTGTGTGAGAGAGGGAAGAGACGACGCGTGAGGAAGGCGCGGCGTCCGGGCGGGGGTGTCAAGCGCGATGTCTGTGCTGTGTCAACGGGGGTGGGTGGGTAAAGGCAGGGTACAGGGGGGGGGTACAGGTGGGGGGGGGCCGGTTTTTAAGTGTGCTCCCCCTGGGCGGGCCGCGCCCCCCCGGCGCCTCGGTGCCATTTCCCGGCGAACGGGCGGG